CGTCCGCTGTCCGAGAGTTAAATATTTTCTATAATAACTTTTATAAATAAATAAATGTAAAAAACCGTTGAAAAATGTCTTTCATAAAATAAAAAATAACAAATAAATAAGTATTATAAATATATTAAAAATATAAAGTTAATGTATTAAAAATATAAAAAAACATTCACATTATATCCCTTTTCAGAAGAATTATTGCAGAAGGGAACTGAGCACCAAACCATTTTTTTCCAGAAAAAAGAATAATTGCAAAAAAACACGTTCAAGCAGCTATACAAGACCACACAAGGCTCAAATCGATTTGAGCATGTTTGAGCATTGTGATCACAATGATAAAACAATGCCAAAATGTCGTTCGTTAGAAACTATGAAGTTTACAGAGCTACAACTTACGGCGTCACTAGAATGAGATAGCATAATTTTTCTCTCTCGCACAATTTCGACGAATAGTGGCGGACTTCAGGTGTCCAGACTCTGATTAGAGGGTCTCTAGCCTAATGAACACACTCGCTCCATCCATGGTCGGCAACTGTCAACTCTGTCAAAGGTCAAGCTGAGTGGCGGACGTGAAACGGAGCAACTGAGAGCTGCTGAGAGCATCGAAAATGTCGGAATGAGATGGTGCACGTTACGTGCGGTGTGCAAAGTAGTGGCCAGTCCAAAATAAGATTACGAGCGTCCGTCGCGGCGGCAGTTACGTCGGTGAGCCGTCGGTGTTGGTCTGCAAGTGGTCTGCACTTTTCTGCAGCGTTCTGATCTCTGAGGAGGGTGTGATGCCGCGATAACGCGGGCGGGTTTCGTTTGCGCAATGACGTATGCTCGCGCTCTTCGCGCTCACGTTCTACGCGGAGTCCGCTGACGGCTGAGGCTGAGGCACACTCGGGCGGCTCGGGCGGCTCAGGCGTTTCAGGCACGCTGAGGTAGAACCGAACGGCCGCTTCGTCGGAGCCTCGGGGTGCAGTGCTGCGATGCCGCTGCGTTTCTGCGGACCGAGGGTTAACGCGTTCTTGATGAGGCCCGAGATCGTTGGGCACGCAATTTTACGCACACCGTCGATTCGGTGAACAGATATGGGCAAGCAAAACGGCTCGTGCTGGTGGTGCCTCAAGGCTGTCAAGTGGTTGCCAGTGATCTTTATCTTGACGATCGTTGCCTGGTCCTATTATGCCTACGTAGTGCAATTGTGCTACTGTGAGTACCCGGACTACGACGGTCTCGTAGTCTTTCGTTTTGTCTCGCCACCGATTTCGTTTCGGGTCGCCGATGTCCTCTCGCCAACTTCGTCATGCCGTTTCGCCTCGTCTCGCGTCATATCGTTAAAAACGCGCGCTTTTGGGATATCACTTCTTTTTTAATTATGTTTCTTTGTATTTTGCTTTACGATAATTCTAAACAATTTGAGTTTTCTTTATTTCTTGATATAGATCTTAATCTCTCTTATTGACATTAAATCTCAATCTTAACAGCGTTAACCTTTTTGTGACATTTTTTATGTAATCTGTAATCTGATATGCAAAAAATTTTCATTTGATGTTTATGCATATATGTAATAAATATAAACGTAAAGAGAACCATTTCATAAGTAGAAGTCTTTTGCAATCATACTATAGATATATATGTGTGTATATATGTTTATAGTTGAACTGCATAGTTGCAAAATAAAAATCTACTCTTGAAAGCTTTATCCTAACATTATAATGTATTTGTTTCAGATACGATAGACAATTATGTTCAAAAAGGTTTGTATCATATATTATTTTATATATTAACTTCGCTTTTTTTGCAATTTAATACTTTTTTGTCTATTTTATTATTTCTATAATTATAACTCTTAATGTCATTTATGTTTATTCAAGTTAATTCTGATTTTGGAAAGTAGCCATGTTGCATATATATATATATATATATAAAACACTTTTATTAACTATGTATGTATTTACAGTTTTCTATCTGCTTTTCTTCCACATCTTGATTCTGATGTTTTTGTGGTCCTATTGGCAAACAATGTACACAAATTTAATACCGGTGCCAGATAAGGTAAATTGTCTGTTACATAAAAATTATTATTTGTCATTTTATGATGCAATACAAATAATCTATACATATTTTCTTAACCCTTTTAGTTTAAAATACCTGATGTTGAGATGGAAAAATTGCAACAGGCTGAAACTGAAGAAACACAGAGACAAATTTTGGAAAGATTTGCACAAGATCTTCCAGTTACTAACCGCACCATAAAAGGAGGTAACTATTTAAATTATAAATCACATAAAAAATTGTTAAAAGAATTTCATGTATATGTTGATAATATTCTTCCTTTAGCTATGCGATTCTGCGAAAAGTGTCAGTTAATAAAGCCTGATAGGGCACATCACTGTAGCGTGTGTGGCACTTGTGTCTTAAAAATGGATCATCATTGTCCGTGGGTGAACAATTGTGTAGGCTTCCACAATTATAAATTTTTCATACTGTTTCTGGCATACGGACTTCTCTATTGTTTGTTTCTTACCGCTACATCTTTGCAATACTTCATACAATTTTGGCAAGTGAGTAGATTTTTTTCTTTTATAATAAATTAATACTATGATTTATTCAGATTATATAATTCCATAATGTAATGTGTGTATGTATATATATATATATATAATTCTAATTTAATATTTGCATTTTATAATTAATATAAACTTTTCCTTTGTAGGGTGAATTAGATGGAATGGGTAGATTTCATCTGCTATTTCTTTTTTTTGTTGCATTGATGTTTGCAGTCAGTCTTATCTCCCTTTTCTTCTATCATTGCTATCTCGTTATTCATAATAGATCAACGCTAGGTATTTATTGCATATATATTTCCATCTTAATATTACAATATTTGTGTGTAATCTTTAATCAGTACCGTGTAACTATTTTATAGAGGCCTTTAGAGCACCTATGTTTCGCACAGGAAAGGACAAAGATGGATTTAGTCTGGGAAAATACAATAATTTTCAGGAAGTATTCGGTGACAATCCGCGACTCTGGTTTCTACCCATATTTAGTAGGTATGTGCTTTTCATTTCTTTAATACTTTATACGCGATAAAATTGTGTAATTTACAAAGTGGGAACCAATTGCACAATACATAATAACTCAACTATTATGTCAATTTGTATGCTTCTAGTATAACACCTATCATAATCTTTATAAAAAAACAACTATGCGGTTTGGCATACTTAAACGAAAATTTGAAATACGGTAACATAAGTACTGCAGGGCCTTGAATATAAAGTGTGAGCAATTCTGATTTTTTCAAAGTTTATTTTCCTTCAAAGAAACAAAATAATCGCATGTTTTATGTGATACAATTTTTTTAATTTTTGATTAGTATTTTTCTATATATATTTCTATCTATAATTATATGGAGAATGCTCCGAAATTATGTGTGTGAGAATATTATATATCCGTTATTCTTTTGTTTTTTCTATAAAAAGTTTTGAAGAATTTCCATCTATTATTATAATAAAAAGATTATTATAATAAAAAGATATACATGTTGAAACTACTTTATTATCTCTGTGTTATAATAATTATACAAAGAGAAATATGTACGATATTTTTTATGTTTTGTATTAAATCAGAACAGGATGCAGATAGATTGTTACATAAGTTGAAATTTTACTGTTTTCCATCTTTATCCTGTATATAAATTCTTCCTGTTTTTTCGATGCAAAGTTTTTTTTAGAAATATGAATATAAAAACTTTTCATTTTGGTGCACTGTTAGTTAGTATGCAACTCCAGCACTTACAAATCATTCTTATGAGCACTATATTTGCACTTTTATGACCGACGAAAAGCAAATTCAATATTTTTTAAATTGGAGTGGTTGCATTGGATGTGTTCTAGTCTGGGAAATGGTGTCGTCTACCCAGTAAGATCGCAACACCAGGGCACACCCAATACTTATGACTCCATGGGCAGTACTCAGAACAGGTCAGCATTACAAAGCTTTAAACAGAAATGCAATATTAATTACTTTAATTCTTTGCTGTGGAACTCGGTTATTTTTTTCGATAAAGATGTGCTTAACAAGTAAATGTACTTTAAATATCAGTTTTGAAAACAAATTTGAGGAAAGGAACTTTTAATAGTTTGCTCTTTTAAAGTTTTGCTATTTTGTTCTGATGTTCTTAACCTATTCAAAATATTTTCTTACCTTTATGTTTATATTTTTTATGTATATCTTTTTCTTTATTCTTTTATAGAGTTCCAGAGTAATGATAAGACCTTTAAGTGCTTCCAGGCTGCATGCAACGCATTTGTACCTTTTTGTTTGACGCTGACTATCACTTCTACAGCTATTACTATTCCCCAATCATTTCATAACTTGAGCTTTTTATACAATTTGTCTGCGAAGTCTATAAAATGAAACTTTTATTTATTCTGCTTTTGATTGTGAAAAGATATTCTTTACAACTATAATTATGTTTGATAGCATTGACACAATTCACAATTTGCATATATCTATAATGCCAATCAATTTTTCTATTTTTTGTTTTTTACTGAAATGTATTTTGAAGGAAAAGGATACTATTAAAAAACAAAAAAAAATTAATTTTTAAAATCTCTGCAGTCTTCTCTAAAAATATATTTATTAATTATATTTTAATATCTCATTTACAGATAAATATCTACTTGTTACAGAATGTGTGTATTAAAAGATTTAAATCTAATATATTTTTAAATAATGATGTATTTATATAAAAGCATTTAAGAGATAATTTTTGTGGTAAAGCTGCATGTCTTATGTTACATTATAAATTTTAGTTGAAGACTAATTTGCGTAAAGTGTTATAATAATTACATGAGGTATTGTGCATCTGGTTCTTATAAACGGTATTTGTATAAAAGTGGTGTAACTATGTATAGTTATTCCTTCTTTAAAAGAAGTATCTTGTTTCTACTTCCTTTACGATTCTTCCTCATTTAGTAATTGGTTAGATAATTAAGCAAACGAAAAAAATAATTTAAAAAAATGGAAATAGATAGTTACGCCATAAGGATTGTAGACATGGGATAACATCGAGTAGAAGGTAGGGTATGGCTTGCAGCTTTGGAGACGGGGTAAACTTTCCCGAGCGGCTGTGCAATGAAGATACTCATACTCTGTTGGGCCCTGGCACCCAACAGTGGGGTGATGAAACTGAATTTGACTCCCCTTCTCCCTACATAAATCAGGTACTTTATAGGTTTGATTCTTAGATCAAAACAATAATTTTATTCAACTTGATAGTGTATCCAATCTTATATAGCAATCATTCCTTATAAATTATATTTATGCAGATACTTATTATTATTAATAGTACATATAGTTGTGTATAAAATCTATCGCAACTAAAGTGAAGTGCCTCCTCTCATGACCTTCATAACTGATTTTAATAACAGGTTCTCTAACGAATTTGGAATCAATTTTTCTTAAACGAAAAAATATCGAGGCGATAATTATTGAGTTAGAAATAATTGCAAATTAAATTTCTTATCTATAGATAAATTGATAAAGTAATATTTTTCAGTTAATTTGAAGTATATTTGGTAACAGAATTTTTATTTAAAACTGTAAAGATATATAACAGTCAGAACTATAAAAAATATATATCATTCAGAATTGGAAGTTATTGTAAATGATGATCTCTCAATATTTTGTACGAAGAAGAAAACTTGATTTCAAATAGATCAGAGAATTAAAATTAAAATCATGAGTTGTAGGATGTCTTGTTTAATCAGAGGACTTGGTATACTATGTTCTCACAATATAGTGAATAAATTGATGTATCTAGATATTTTAATTGTTATGAAATTCGTATTCTTATAAATAAGTATATATTATTATGCACTCTGTTAATAATGAACAATGGTACATACATTCCAATAGTTAATTCAAATATTCTTTGTTGCTAAAAAAACGGATTTATCTTTATAGTAGAATAGGAAATATATTTAAAATCATCTGTAAAAAAGGAATTTCTTCATAGAAATAAAATTTTATTTATAATTATTCTTTATCTTATCACATTTACAGAATGTTCCTATCCTACATCGACAATGCCTATCACTAAATGAAATATATAATAATATTAAGAAGTACAAAATTACAATTTACACAATATCATTTACAGAAATATCCTGACTGAACATATTTATTGACATTCAACTTATAAATGCATCTTTTAGGTTTTTACATTTTATAAATGCAATGTATGAAGTTTTATAATGTAAATGTATAAATAAGATAAAATACGTCGCGCTACGAAATTACAGTAAGTTTCCAATTTTACTACTAATAAATACTAAACATTTTTTTTTGAGTGCTCCTGCTTCCACAACAAACTAATTCTGAAATCGTTATTATTTTTCCTTGTAATAATTTTAAATCAAATTGACAAAAGAACTTGTTTGAGATAGTCCATATTAACTTGCCATATAAAACAATTTTCCCCTATATTATTTTAATATGTATTAAAAAATATATGTATTTGCGTTAGATTTCTTATGATCTGATTGAAATAAATTGATGTCTTGTTTTTATAATTTTTCATGATCTTATATGATATATATGTTTCAAATTTTTGTACATTTCAAGCTAATGAATTGAACGTGTAATTTAAATTTTATTTACATTATGTGTATATATATATAAAATCATACAATCATGTACCTATAGGTAAATATAGTACAATACCTTTTTTTGATATAATCCATTCTATTGAATTTTTGATTGATCACAGGTCCATCATTGATCAAATGACATTGGTACAAGAAGCTACAATTTTGGCTCTTGGCACTGGGTAATATTGTCTGTAATATCGATTGAATATTATTACTAATATCGCTTGCATGAATATGTATATATAAAGTCAAAATGAGCATTATTCTTTTTTATTCTATATTATATCTCTCTATTTGATCTATCTTACATATTTTCGTCTTTGGGTGTGGGTGAATGAATGGCAAATTAACATTTTTATAATGATTGTATTTATAACATTTGTGATAAAGCTATATGAAGCATTGGTCTTTGTTTTTTTGTGCAGTATTGTGATTGACAGCTTTTGTTGTATTTTATTTCTGTTACAAATAAGATCTTCATGTCCCATTGTTATCAAGAGTTTTGGAGTTTTTTTATAAAATATACCTATTCCAAATATTTACAGCACTGCTGTGATAGGTCCTTCTGTTGATGTCGACCAACCACTAATGGATGTCACAGAACCTGTCTGAATAACACCGACAAATCTGTACGCCTTCACGCAATTGTAATTTTGCTTTGGTAATCCAGACGATTGTAATCCAGAATATAAATTTATATTTGGTGCTTTCTTATGTTTTAATTCTCGGCGTTGTGCGTTTAAGGTTATTTTATATAGGTATTATTGTTGTGAAGGAAATTCACATTGAATTGTTATTGCAGTCAACGCAAATATTTTTAACATTGCGGTTTATTCCGCATCAAGATCTTTGAATATTAACTGTATTATATATATATTGTAATATATATACGGATTCGTTGTTAAAAGTATTGTTATAATTACTTGTAATTTTTTAACCATAATGTTTCACATATAATTAAATTACTCTGTAGCGCAATGTATAATATCGATGTTACTATAAATTTGTAATTGATTGAGTGTGTAGATTACAAATTAAAATGATGAAGAGTCATTGCAGTTCAATTCAGAGAATATTAGCATTAACAATAACTTTTATCGAAACATAGGCACATATACGTGTGCTGAACAATAAAAATGATAAAAATGATAAAAATTGCGAATAAAAATTCGTCCATATTTTATTGTAAAAAATAAATAGGATGATTATAAATTTTTAGTAATTTGTTACTAAGAATTTTATGTACAACTTGCAATTTCATTATATATATTTAATGTTTTTACATAATATATTTTTACATTAAGTTAAGCTGAATAGAATTATATACAGGGTGTTTCCTCTAACTTGATCATTTAAATATAAAATATCTCCGTTGTTTTTGATGATACGAGAAAATATCACAAGGGATCTTATTTGATACGAAGCAGCACATATCTCGTAAACTATTGGTTTTTCGATATCGCTACCTTAATACTTTCATATGCAGAATAATTAGAGGAACCATATTGTGTAAAAAAAATCATATAATTCCATTTTAAAAAGTGGAGGTAACCTTAAAATCTCAAAAAAATATGATCTTGAGAACAATTTTTTGTTTATCATAGTACATGTCCTTTCAAATCGAACAAAATCCTCTATAGTATTTTCTCGTATCATAAAAAATAACGGAAATATTTTAAATGATCAGTTACAGGAAATATCCTCTATATCATATTATAATCGGAGATGATTCATAAAATACAATATAAAAGTAATATTTGCAAAAATATGAATTTCATTTATAATAAAATTTTTTTAATATATATGATATGATAATCGTCCTATTATTTTTTTAAATAGATACTCAATACAAATTCCACATTGTACGAAATCTATAATTAAGTGCTATCGATTTTTCAAATTTATAATAAAATGTCAGTTTACACAACATAATATTATACAAAATAATGCTTGTACTTATAAATACTTTTGGTTATTTATTATTTGCGTATTAATTTTAAGAATATCATGTTTATATTTAGACAAATTTAGAAAATATAAATTATATAATTGGTTGTATAATTTATGATATGAATTTCAGGCGTAAGAGTTTGTGTATATACTTATATTGAACTGCCATTTTTGCTTGTGTATATGTTCTCTATGAAATTATTTATGTTTATACTAGTACGAAATATATGAATGATATCTATGCGTATTCAACCTTATATACATATACGTATAATTATTGAAAGCTTAGTTACACATGCGAATTATGAAACAATATTTACTTATAGGTATGTTAATTATGTATTTCTTACATATTTCCATTAATATACAAAAGTTTATATTAATAACAATTTATTGAAAATTATTTACTAATTACTGCTAATTGAAAACCTATTCATTCGGAAGTATAATGAATATAGTTTATATTTTTGTAAAATTATAGATGTTTTTTTATTTCACATACATACATACATAGTATGAAAATATATTTTTTATTTAAGAATACATAAATAATGGAAGCATTTATACATATTTATATATGTAACATATATGAATACCCATTTACAAAGTATAACCATATCTTTTAATCCAATTTAACCCTTCCACTGTTAATGATTTCGGCCGATATTCCAGACCAACATAGCCAGTGTAACCAGTTGTTTCTAATAAAGACAAGACATATTTATAATCAATCTCTCCTGGAGTATCTGGTTCATGCCTATGAGGAACTTGAGCTACTTGAATGTGACCTATAAAAGTAATATACTGAATAAATGTATATTATATGTTATATATATATATATTTTATTTGAATAATATGGAAATGATAGTATGAATATATTATTGAAATAAATTGTATTATTTATATAGATCATATTAAGATTAAATCTGTTTGAACAAATAAAATATGCACATATATAATTAGCAATGAATTACAATTTTAAAACGAGATACATTAAAATTAGTAAAACTATACACAAAGAGAATCTATAAGAATTAATATATTGTAAAGTTACTGACCTATGTAAGGTAAAAAATCTTGAATGCATTTTGTAATATTGCCACAACAATGTTGTAAATGAAAGATATCCATCAACAGCTTGAAATATGCATTGTTTATTTTTTTCACTAAATTTAAACCTATGATAAAAATAAAAAAAATTACTCTGATTCATTATGAGAAAGTAAACCACAACTCATAGACAATACAATTTCATATACCTTTTTGAAAATTATTCATGTAATAATTTGGTACACTATAATTATTAATTGGTTCAATGACAACAACAATGTCTTCTTTTTGACACTTTTCGATAGCATACAATAGATTTTTTTCATAAACTATATCATTAGCAGCAGTAGCAGCTTCCACTTTTCCTGACATTACATGAATCCTATTAAGAATAAAATTCGCTATTATGATTATATAACACGAAATTCTCTCTCTCTCTCTCTCTCTCTCTCTCTCATTGTTACAAAAATTAAATTCTCAATCAAATTTGTACATTTACAATTTATCGATATACTGACATCTTACAGTTCAAAGCATTTGCATATTCTATTGTTTTCTCGATACTTTTTTTGAAATTTTCTTCTTCACCTGGAATGGCAGCAAAGCCCACTTCTCCTTTTGTAACATCACCTGTTAAGATAATGTTGAAATTAAAACTAATGAAATTATTTTTGTAATGTGTAGTATAAACACAACATACCTGTGAATACATTCAAAAGTACTTGATCAACATTAGCCTTCTTTTTAGCTGTGGCAACTTGCTGAACAGAGAAGCCAAATGGAAATCCACTTTCAACTGCTTTAAATCCAGCTTGCTTGGCCAGTTGATATCTGTCAATAATACTAGGAACCTCAGTAAACATAAAAGACAGATTACTGGCAAATTTTAAAGCCATGACAACAGTTATCTGCAAGGAATAAGTATAACACATAAAATGAATGTGAAATCAACTTTCAGTCAGTCACAACTTTCATCGTTGAATTATATAATAACGCTTATCTATGATAAGAAAACTGCATATTCGAGAAAAAAATTTCTGTTAATATAGGAGATAATTTTAAAATAAAGTCTATTCACCTGATCACAAAAGGTATAAATATCTTTGAATTATAAAGTAAAAACATAAAGATTATTTTTTAGAAAAAAATATTTTCGTGATATAAACTTCCTCGGCACATCTATTGACGTCTGTGTTTATGCTTCACCGCGAATACACGCTGGACAAAATAGATTAGAACTGGTATGTACATGATACAAAAATTGGTATATGTGATATTCTATTCTATACAAACATTGAAGGTTTGTTGCAACATGCTCCAACATGCTCCTACCATAGCTCTTATGCGTGGTCTACAATGGGCAGTAGCAGTAGTGGATTAAGAAGTTGGCGTAGAAATCAACCAATCATAATCGAATGTGAGGAGAATAATCAACCATGATTGATCGATTTCTACGCCTACTTCTTAATCCATTACTGCTACTGCCCATTGTAGACCACGCATTACTCATTTCACGCGCTTGATAGAGTAGGAGCTATGGTAGGAGCATGTTGGAACATGTTGGATCTTGCGATGCGACAAACCTTCAATGTTTGTATAGAATAGAATATCACATATATCAGTTTTTGTATCATGTACCTTCGTAGGAGCATATTACTTATATCTAATGAATCGTCCATTTCGCTTCTTTTTAATGTGTTCTATCGCGCGCGACGCTTATAAGTTCGAAAATCTGAACTTCTAAGCGTCGACGTTGAAACTGACATGACGTCATAATTCATATGCTGGATTCACACTGCGTCATATGCTGGAATCACACTGCATCCGATTTTCGTCGTACGACGCTTTGCATCCAATCAGAAAACAGGATTCCAATAATACGAAGCAAAATTCATCGGAATCCTGTTTTCTGATTGGTTGCAGAG